ATGTGACAGGCAAAGAGAGGAGGAGAAGAAGAAGTAGAATTTAACCGAATGTCTACAGGCTTATTTCTCTTCGTCGTTCAGAGTTGGCTGACCAAAGCTTTTAAAGAGTCAACTATGAAGGAGTGGCCGGCAGTGAAATACTCATTTTTGGCATTGTGAAATTGAACGCTGCGAGAAACGAACACTGAATCCCCGACTATTGGTTTATGATCCCGTATATATGCCTTCACCTCCATGCCATACTGTTTCAATTTCACTTTTCCTGGCAGACATTATTCATTGGCAAAGCCAAGAACTGTTGAATGAAAGGGTCAATAGACCGCTGTTAACATTACAGACGGTGTTTGATTTAAAATGAGTGGAAGTGAATGTACTTTTATACACGAATTTCATTTAAACAGGTATATATATATATATATATATTTATTAAAGACATTTTTATGTTTAACGTTCTTTTTATAGATACAAGTATTTAAGTAAATGCTCTGTTTATAATAAACAGTACTAAATAACATTTACCGGCCTGAATGTCCGAGAAATTTTCATAGAAAATATTCGTCCTTTGACAGGATTCGAACCTGCATCCTATACGGAACCGTCATTTACGCTGACGTGCCTTACCGATCGGCCACAAAGATGCGTTCGGTAGACAAGGTCGAATTTACTGCTTATAAACTTCTGTATATATATATATATATATATACACCCACAATTTCGAAAAATTTAAAGAAATATTCTGTTCGAAAAAAACACACACACACACACACACACACACACACACACACATATATATATATATATATATATATATATATATATATATATATATATATATATATATATATATATATATATATGCATAAATGAAGAAAAAATAAACTACACCTAAAGCAAAACTCCTAAATAATGGCCAAAAAGTGGCCCAAAACACTGAATGAATATTATGGACAAATTTTGTACTCCCATTAACGTAAAAAGGCCGGAAAAATAAATAAAAATTAATTAATTTTTCCTTGTCTGTCATATTTAACTAAAGAGTTTGAAAAGAAAGGCTGCTATATATATATATATATATATATATATATATATATATATATATATATATATATATATATATATATATATATATATATATGATGGACATTCCCGTTGATTCCGATAAACTTTATATGCTTGTGTCGTGCGTCCACATATTGTGCAACAGCGTGGATCACAGGACATAGCAACAGGAACGTTTGCTGACATTTGCTGATGCTTTTCGCCGTTGATCTTCCTCTCTTAGCCGGATTTCTGTTAGCCCTCTGGCTCAAGTATCTCCAGTTAACTCTGTCCAGGTCAACTTAGTATGAGTCACATTGACAGTTGAGAGGTTGCTCTTTAGCTTGTATTTATGCCTGAACCACGGCTGTCCAACAGTCCTTTGCTCACTGTCAAGTTGTCTATACATGAGGACCTTAGGTATTCTGTCGTCACCCATACCTGTAATATAATCAGCCCATCAAAGTTGTGACTGCATCAGGAATGTCTCAATTTCACCAATGTTGCAGGAAAATCGACGTTGGTCACTCTATCATCCAAATATACATGTTTCATTAATGGTGACTAACAATGTACTGCGATAAATGTATCCAATTCGTACAAGTGTTCTCATTTCAGGGGATAACGTGTGTAAACACTCCCTAAATATTCTCTATATCTGAGGGATTTCAGTTATTCTGTTAGCCATTCTCATGGAAGTTTTTTTTCTTAATTTTTAACTGAATATGTAGATTTTTATATATGTGCATGTATAGTGATTGGAATGTTTTTTTTCAAACTCAGTCATACTACACATCGAAAATCGCTAATAGAATAGCCGAAAGCGCTCTAATATATGAATCTTGTCTAGTGTTATTTAGCAAACAATATAAATATTAAAAATATCACATTTTAAATAGGTTAATTTAGATGTCAAAACAAAATCTGAGTTAAAATTTCAGGTAGTATCAATATATTTTATTGAATTTATTTGATGTATTCTAAAAATCTCCGTTTGAAGTTATTAGGAAAAACCAAATAATCATATTTTAGTTCAATAAAAAGGTAATAAAATAAAAATTGATCAACACCTATAATATGAAAAATAACTAGCATATATTGTAAGACTTTGAATCCGTTACATTTTAATACAGTGATCCTTCTTCTTAATAAAAGCCTGTAATCTATTATCCGTTAATTCTTTTTTACTTAAGCAGGTTCAGTTTCCAACTTTGTAGTTTTTAATTGGTTTTCATATGCCTGATTCGCTGTTATATTGCTTGCCAACTTCATATAATTTCATATTGGCAATTAATCATAGATTTTCGATCGGATTCAAATCAGGACTTCACGGTGGACATTACATTATCTTCTCTCCTTCAAATTTTTTATGCTTAAAGAAACCACGGGTAAACTTAAATTCATGTGAAGGAGCATTGTCATGCATAAATACACACATCACTTTGAAACTGCGAGACTGTGACCTGTACAATGGAAAGAAAGTCTTGTTCATAAAATCGCAATAGTTAGCACTATTCAGTTTAACTGCTTTATCGACTTTGAATGCTCCAATAATGGTTTGGTCGACAATTCCAGACCGTATCATAACACTATAACCTCCTTGTTACCTTCTAACCACAGACACGTATAAATTGGATACAGTCTATCCTTCGGCCCATTCATCAGCTCCATTACATATCACTCTGGTTTGGTCAATGAAAATTACCTTAGAAAAGTTAATTTTCATGTACTTCCAGGCTTAATTTTGAAGCTTTAAAATATTTGCTTTAGTGAGAGGAGGTTACATACCATATTTCTTTACAGAATCTATTTCACAAAGTATTTTACACCTTTTGTCCTTCTTAGCTCACTCAATTCCAGTCTTTTCAAAGACCTGGCCGCTTTAGTTGACATTAATCTCAAGGAATCATGTTCTTAAAGCCCTTTCTTTTGCTTCGTTTTAACTTAGCTATATTTTCAATAGTCTTCTTTATCATTCGATGACCTTTACACAGCTTCTTTGATATAAATCTCCAAAGGTGGACATTCGATTACTAAATAACTTTGTTACTTTCTGTTTTTCAGTAGTTGTTATACACTTCCCTTGAAACATGTTTCAACGTATATTATGGACAAAAATATTTCTTTCTTAGATTTCAGAGGTTTTAAGCCAATGTTATTTTAATCAGCATTCTAATTTCAGTCAGTCCATTTTCGTAAATTCCAAATATCTCAAAAACTAACTATTAAATAAATAGATAAAAATAAATAAATTAGTAAAATAATCTGACCCAGGACAATAAATTAGTAAATAAATTAAGTAAATATCAAAGAATTAACAAACTACGAATACACATATAGACACAAGTAAACGTAATAATAAAAAAAAAAACAAATTTAAAAACATAATCAATAAATAATGATAAAATAGTTATCAAACATTATACAATAGCCAAAAAACTAAATTCGGATCCACAATAATTTTCACTCAATATCATTTTGAATAAGTCAAAACATAACCGTTATTGCACATTCAAATAACCGTTAGATAAAATAGACCAAACTATAATGCCCTACTGACCAGCATATATAAATAATCGAGCAAAAACACAATACATATTGCCCGACGATTGCTTTTAAGCATGAAAAAAAAAACTGTCGCCGCTGGATGTTGATTCTATCCCTAATATTGAGCATTTTAATCCATAAATCTATCATAATTCTCACTATAATTTTTATCACACACACACACACACACACACACATATATATATATATATATATATATATATATATATATATATAAGAGAGAGAGAGAAAGGGAGAGATAGGTAGTAGTGACACAAAAATCAATGCTGCATGGTGAGTGTCAATTTCACAAACTGACAATCACAAAGTAGTTTTGATTTCTATCTCTTTGCAACTTATATCTTGGGCAATGCAGTGAAGTCTCTGTGCAATGATGACGTAGAGTTCTGTTTAAATATACAAATACCATTTTAGGAAACTGTTGCGTGGAAGGGTGTGTCTGGTTTTCAATGATGTTGATATACGTCCTACACAACAAATTACATACCATATAAATGAAAGGACGCAGAAGAACATTCACAAAAACCTCAAACTGATACCACAAATTTGTCTCTCACCATGGTACATTACCTTCCCACCATAACGCCACACACGTACGTTGCTTTCCACTTTATTAAGGGAAGAGGAAAACTCATTGGCTCATTTCCGACAGCTGTCCCCTCAATGAAGACGTTTTCGATAAATGACTTTTGTTAGCATGCGACTGGCTTGTTACGAAGCCCAGACGCAACAAGGATCGATGCGCTGCGAGTTCCTTCCCTTTGATGAAATCTATAACTAGTATCACAGTTGCATTTCTGATGGCTCATATTTGTCGAAAAAACCTTTATCACTTCTATCAATAAGGTATGGCTGCCCAAAGTATTATCAGCAGTTGAAGATGTTTATCACCTTGTACTGCAGCATATACTTACCAAACGCAATTGAACTTGGGAATATTACAAGCTGTGCCCTAATTAACATCTAGTTTTATGTCCTTAACAATTTGCCTTTTAAGCCTTTCTTCTTGTCCATAAGTTCGACATTCAACACCTCAAAATATACTCGAACCTGGCTTGTTTGATTTTATGCCTCTCTGACATGCGCAATACAAGTAACATTCTGCTGATCATATTATGTTAGTTAATATATTATTTGTGACCTCAAAATTTAAAGCAATTTGAACAGTTCGCAGGAAAGAATTTGTGCCGCAATATTTTCGATTGATTGATTTGCTTTTTACATTTTATCAAACTTATTGCAGATAATTTTAGATTGCAAGAAATGTATGGAGATAATAATTATTAACTGACAAAAGTCCTACTAAGTGATTCATACCTTGTGGAAAAGAGATAGATTCATATCTTTCCCAAGGGTGTTTCCGAGCCGGTATTCATTAGAGCACCCGCACATAGTACAGCACCTGTTATACTCACGCGGTCCCCTATCTAGGAACTGATCAGGCTCGACATTGCTTAACTTTGGTGATTGTATGAGAACCGTTGTTTCGACGTGATATGGCCGTACGCTATGTTTTATGAGCAACATTATTTGTCAGATCGCTGATTATGAATAATGTGGAAACAAGTTTTGGATAAAATTACCTCGGTGTCATTTTCCTGGAACTATTATCTCGTACATTTGAGCTAGGTATTGTTCTCAGAGTGTAATTTCAGGTCTCCATATGTGTGCGTTTGTATATTAACAAAGTAAACCAGGAGCCAGAAAACTGCTTTATAATTTAATATCTTTCTTATATTTTCTTTCCATGCATAATTAGAAACTGACTATACTTTGAAAAATATATAACGTTACAGTACAATGCAAAAATCTTCGAGCACATTAAGCAAATGTAAATTTTGAAACATTGCCGGAAATCATCAATTATGTTTCTGTAGGATCAATATTTCATCTGCAGAATTCACAGGTGAAATATTGATCCAACTGGAATTTCTATATATTATCATAGTTTGGACTAATGTACACAAGAGACTTCATTTATTTGAAAGATAGCAAATCTCTATACTTAAATGATATATAAGTCAATATATCCTAGGTATTCTTAGGGGTAGATGATGTATAACAATGAGAGTAATGGATGGCAGTTCCTCTCTGAGCAGCCTTTGTAAACCCCTCTTCTCCCAGTGGGCCATTTAGTCCTCGCATGAGAGCGAACTTTTCTCGGTACTGAGTACCTTAGTGAGGCATGATGTATATGAGTCAAGAAGTTCTGCTGCTTCAATTATTCTGGATAGAATGCCTGTATTTTATTTCCTGGGCTCATTGTTTCTTTTTATACAGTAATATTCACCCAGTACAAGACCCAAGGGCCATTTAAGGTAGAGGGTTACAGTGTAAGAGGCACCACTGCAAGAAAGGATATAAAGGCGCCAAAACGAGAAGGGATAACGGAAGTGAAAGAAAAAATGCTTTAGAAGCAACCGAAAACCCAATCCTAAACGGAAAACAAGGGATAAAATTATACTCGTGTACAAAAGACTGGGAAGGAGTGCGAACCGGACAACAGGCAAACCTATCTACTCCCATTGAGAATAGAAAAAGTTATTCAATAGTAAATAAAAGTTCAAAGTCTACATTGAGAGTGTTAGTGTTAAACGTTTCTTTTTGTTTGGTGATAGTAACGGAACCTGAGAGCAAATCTTAAGAAGGCTGTCCCACGAGCAAGTGTATAATGTAGGGGGCTCATGTATCGAAAATTTCTGAATGGGATCTTGACCGTGCAATAGTTTTCAATGCTGCCTCTCCATGCCACGATGAAATGTACAGTGCGTCATGATAAGTGATCCAGTTACTTCTTGAACAGATTATTTATTAGTTCCTCGCAGGTCATTTGCAAGTCTAGTGACTTAAATTTGTACCACATTACTGTTGTCTAGATTTTTTTCTAAATTAAAACTAGTAAATAATTAAACATAAACTTATTGTTGTGGTAGGGTCCACCTAATTTGCATAGTGGAGTACCAACCATATAAATATGGTTGGTACCGGGAAGACGGTGAGAGGAATCAAGAGATTCAATCCACAGACTCTGCCCGACTGCGACTAAGTCAACACATTCTCCAGGAACGGTCTTCCCAAGAATATACAAAAGACTATATGTAAATATTGTGTAGACTTTCTTGTTTCAATACATTTTGTTCTAAGTACATTTTGTGTTGTATTATTATTCCATGCATTAGTCAAGTTTCAACACTTATAAAATAAATTGTTAAGTTAAAGCATAAATAAATGTTTTTCTCCTGGAGTTACTTTTCTATTTACGTTTGACCAATTCTTCCTCATTTCAGATTTCAGAAGCACAACTACATGTGTCACATTTGGTGGTATATTGTAATAGTAATATTAACCATTTCCTTATGAGAAAACATTCGGCATTCATTGACCGAGCAGCCAGTTCTACTGTCAATCAAAATTTATAAATACTTTCTATAAAACAAATTATGCGTAATTGTTATCGCTCAGTCATATACTGATGGGAGCTGCTTTCCTAACCATTTGTGGAAAATAGCGTGGATTATGTCATCATTTTCGCTATTTTAGTATCTATTTATTTGGTGCTGCTGTTGAAATTGCTCATCTGATATGTTTTCTGGTATTTGGCACAGTTCTTTGAGATTCTATAACACCAGCATGTGAGGTTCGAATAAGGATGTTCATTGCCAAGAACTATATGTTTAATTCGATTGATGTCATTTTAAAACATTGATGTGAGAAAGAGACTGAGTATAGTTGACATCTGTCTATATAATTGTGATGAGGTATTGTAACTATTTTCATTATTTTGACATTAATCTTTATTGTAATATTCACGACGTTTCGGTTGCTGTACGCTTTCGGCATTCTTCAGGTCGTATACGTTGGAATTTTTAACCAAACCCATTGTTTCATTCACTGTGGTTTGACACATGGCCTAAAAGATGAACGCGTTTGGTTTAAGAAATCCAGCTAAAGGGTTGTGAATCCAATACGTGGTCACAGCAGAGGTGAACAAAAACATTGAGAGTTGAGCTACTAAAGGGATATAACTTAAACTGAGATATTCAGGAAAAGCACGGCACGTGGAACTAGAACAATCTAGCCAAGGGAACTAAATAAAGGGTTCAGTTCGAAATTTCAACGGATATCATGTGAAGAAAGGAGGAGCGTACGACGCTCAAAACGACGTGAATAAGAAAATAAAGATGACAACAACAGTCCGCGCAATTTAAATAATGTAAACAGTTGACATATATTTCTAGACGGGCGTCATGCATATGACAGTCTCGATCTGATGAGCTCATACCTGTTTGTAATAATAATAATATGCATGATATGCCTACAACGGTCCATAGATGTTACTAAGATATAGGTATAAATTAAACAACACTACAGATATATAGCGCCTTTTTTATAGTTCGTGTATTCATAAGTTGGATCTTTGTAATAAAAGAACTCTGATATTTATTAAAATTTATCATTAACACTGGTATCTATTCTACCCCCCACTTTATTTATTAGGGTATTGTATCTTATACTTCCGATTCTCATGCATGGATTATGCACCAAGAAACCTCGACTAACTCTGTAATGATTTATTTGTAAATTTTCTTTCCGAAAATGACATTTGATATCAACCCATGTTGATAAATCCTTATGTTATGTAAGCTATATTGCAATACACGCATGTCGGCACGCATGTAACTATTTAAATTTTTTGGGCGTATATATAATTATTTTTCAAGGGGACTGAAAGGTTTTCATGTTTCTCTAAGGAAATGGAGATGGAATTCTTCTTCTATGTGCCGTGTCCCTTCAGGACGTTGACGATCTTGCCTCTTCACAATTTACTCTGTTTTGTAGTTCTTAGTAAATTATGTCTCTCGTAAATCCTATTCTGCCAACCATTTACACAAGCTTGTTAGATAAGTTATGCGCTGTGCACCCCCATTACTCTCACCGCTAATATTTTTTGTGAGTGTCAAATTTTTCAAGCATTTCCTTCCTCATTATATGCCTTAGAAATGTAAAATGTCTCTTTTTGATGTTAAGTCCTTTTCATTTCTATTTTCTATAAAACTTCGTCGTTGAATAGCCTGCTTTCAAATATATCATTTCAAGTCAATCAAGAAATTGGCGTTACATAATCTTATCAACATGCGGTCAGTATACCCGTGTACTTAAGAAATAATCAATAACCACCTCATACAACTATCCATCACCAAATTGTATGTTTATGTAAACAGACACACACGCACATAAAACACATCTGCATCTAATTTCTGACTTCACTTTCTCATGGGGGAAGATTGAAAAAAAAATTAATCATGTGTGTTCAATTCATTTGACAGTCTATGGAAGTAATATATTCTGGTTTAGGTGGGAAAAACTACATCCCAAAAAACAAATCAAGGGCATGAATCACGATAAACCCTCTGAAGGTCAAACGGAATGAGAATAATTTGTTTGCAAGGATTGAATAATGGATTTTGTTCGAAATTTCGGAAACTTTTCTGAGTACAGGAAGAATGGTTTGGTTGATTTTGTTTAGCGGCATATCAATATTTAAAGGGTTATTTAATACCGAAATCTAAATAATTATGTATGCACTTTTATGGCTTCAACAAAATATGCTTGAACGCACTTTATGCTTTCAACTACACATATTTTATAGTTTCAGGGTAAATATATATATATATTTAAGATACATTGTTTGTAAATGATAAACTTGTATTTCTGGTAATTTTACTTTGAAAAAAGTATTTTTATATTATTTTTAGTGTTGCATTGTTGATCTTTTTACGTTGAAAATGTATTGCTGGTTATTTCATTACAAAAATTTATTGTTGACAATTTTTTTTTCTAAAAATATACTACTGGTATTATTAATATAAAAATATATTTTTTATACTTTTCTAGTGTGGTGATTTTTGTTTGGGCGTTCACTAAGCCTTGCCCATAGTTGGGACCCTAACCGTTGCTACTACCCCTTGAACATGGGAACAACAGCAGTTTCATGCTCCTCCGATCCCTCAATCAGAAGTCTTGCTACCGGATGCAGTTTATCGTCGTACCCAGGATTGAGGAAGAATAGTAATGGTGATATTAGTCTATTCTATGTGCCCTTTATAATATGCTTATCTCGTATGCTTATCTCATATTCGTAATACCCGATCCATAAGCCGAGATATTTGAAATGTTTAGCTACGTAAAGCAAAGACATACTTGTATATAAAAAAAAATCAATATGATGAGGTCGTTGATTTTTCTTAATTATGATGTAAAAATAGATGCAGGGGAAAATCTCTTTTATGTGCCATGTCCCTTCAGAACGTGAACGATCATAGTTCTCCACAACTTCTTTTAGCTATAAGCAATATTTGACTCTTTACCGTCCCTCATTTTCCCCACCCATTTGTTGTTAGGTCGGTTATTAACTGTTTCCTTATGCACCTACTACTCTCAATGAATAAAATTTCTTCGATCGAAAAGTAACCACCGAATAGTAATCCGTATAGAGAAATAGTAT